TCACGAGCGGGCTTGAGCCGTCAGTGCTCAAGGTCAACTTGCACCGCGAACAGCTCAAGAATTTAGCTAAAAATGACGAAATGTGCAGTAAATGAGTGTAAAAATACGTCAGACAAACATAAAATAGATACTAACATCACATTTCACAAGAAAGTACCTAACGCGTTTCAACTTGTATTTTTATATAAATATTCACTAAAACCGAAAATTAATTTCGTTGCAACAAGACACGAAAATGTTGCAAAGTAACGAATTTCTTTTTCCCAATTTTGCTATTCTGTTTCAAAATTATTATAATACGTAATTTTTTGAGAATAGGCAATATCGCGATGGCTGCAGATTTTTTTTAATTCTAATGTAATTGTGCATTTCACCTCCATTTCTGCAAGTTGAATGCGTACAAATGTTGTTTACAAAGAGCAACCCCTAGAGTTTCTTGCTCATACTTCTCGGAGGAATCTGCCTTACGAATGAGCGGTAGAGTTTAACCAATGTGATGATTTCAAGTGTAATAATGCTTACCTATGAAATAAAGATTATTTTGATTCTGGGTATCGTTTACGAGGTATGTGGGGGTGCTCATTACGAATATAGCACTTATTTCTAAATCCAAGATGGCGGACACGATTTTTCAAAAAAAATGCAATATGGGTATCCTTTTCGAGTTATTTGGGGATGCTCATTACGAATATGGCACTCATTTCTAAATCCAAGATGGCGGGCGCGATTTTTCGAATAATGGCAAGTTGGGTATTGTTTTCGAGATATTTGGGGGTGCTCATTACGAATATAGCACTTATTTGTAAATCCAAGATAGCGGACACGATTTTTCAAAAATGCTATATGAGTATCCTTTTCGAGGTATTTGGGGATGCTCAATACGAATATGGCACTCATTTCTAAATCCGAGATGGCGGGCACGATTTTTCGAATAATTGCAAGTTGGGTATCGTTTTCGAGATATTTGGGGATGTTCAATACGAACATGACACTCATTTCTAAATCCAAGATGGCAGACACGACAGTTCCAACAAAAGCAATATTCGTAATGAGCACCCCCAAATAACTCGAAAACGATACCTAACTTGCCATTATTGGAAAAATCGTGCCCACCATCGTCGGTTTACAAATAGTGCCATATTCACATTGAGCATCCTAAAATACCTCGAAAATGATACCCATATAGCATTTTTTGAAAAATCGTGCCCGCCATCTTGGATTTAGAAATGAGTGCCATATTTGTAATGAGCACCCCCAAGTACCTCGAAAATGATACCCATATTGCATTTATTTGAAAACTCGTGTCCGCCATCTTGGATTTAGAAATAAATGCTATATTCGTAATGAGCACCCCCAAATACCTTGAAAACGATACCCAACTTGACATTATTCGAAAAATCGTGCCCGCCATCTTGGATTTAGAAATGAGTGCCATATTCGTAATGAGCACCTCGAATACCTCGAAAATGATTCCCATATTGCATTTATTTGAAAAGTCGTGTCCATCATCGTATATTCAGATATAAATGCCATTTCCATAAAGATTACCAAAAATACATTTTTGAAAATTCTTGTTACTTGACATTGTCGATCGACAAAACCGAGCATATCTGTAGGCACCTGATCGACATTGTAGATCGACAGTAACGATCGACAAAATCGAGCAAATCTGTACGCACCTTTAACTTAATGTTGAGTTAAGCAAGATACAATTTCCCCACTTTTGAGGGAAATGTTATTCCATGGCATCATTATTTGTATATTTGTGTGGGTGCCGATGAGCGTAGACACAAGTTGCTTACATGAATTTGATTTTTGCCTCACTGGTGACAGTTCGTTTGATATGAAACTATCATTCTATGCGTTATTATTCTAAGCTCACAGGTATAATCACTCATCCATATAATGGCCCACAAGTAGTAATAATCTTCAACTGTATAATTAAATGGGCTTCTTTGTGAAACAATGGCGCGAACGGCGGAATGTGACCCAGGGCTAACCTCTTTTATATATATAGTTAACGGGGCATAGAGCTTCGCCAACAACTATACATAATCAAGTTCTGTATTGGAGCTTACTCAAGTATGTGCCTCATTAAATTTATTTCCCTATTGAAAGTTTAACTTTCCGTTGTACGCACGGGTCTTTTTATATTAATTATTGATATCGAAAAGTGACAGTGCACACAAAAAAGGAACCATTTAAATAAAAGTGAATTGAGGGTAAGAAAACAAAATACATCTTAAATATTCGTTATACTTATAACTTAGTATAAAATCACTGGAATCTGACATCATGTTTACTTAGTACAGTTTTTTTACTCTCCCCTCTCCGTAACGAAATAGGTCTTTTCTGCAGATGTTATAAAATAACATATCTAACTTTAACCTCTACGCTGCAACAACAAAATTTTGAATTTGAACAATGTGCAGATATTTTTAAAATACGAACAACTTTGTAGAACAAAGTTTTATAATTGAAAAAGATAAAGTATTTTTGAATTCCTGGAGAGGTATTCAAGAACTCCCTCCGGCCTAACTGTCTAAAATATCTAATATTTTTTAATTAAATCTGAAAATGAAGTTAACTTGTGCATTCCACTGCCTACTTTAAACTTGACGTGGGTTTCATTAACCTAATTTTATGATACTGTAGGATAATTTAAAATACTCGAGTCAAATATATAAACGTAGCTAACCTACGAGACAAAATACATAAAATACACCATATAACATTTTATTCGGGCACTAGTACATTTTGATTCTTTACTTTTATTTATGATACCAAGTCACGGGACTCTAATCGTACGCCCGATGGTAAGCTACACACCTGTCTATAACAGTTGCAGTGCCACTCAGAGCTATAAGCCACAAAGGTTTGTGACTTATAGCTCTGAGTGGCACAGTGGTGAATGGTGAGACATAAGTTGACAAGTCTCATGTGCGTGTAGTTTCACCAGCACCCTTACCCTTCAAAACCGGAACGCAATAATGCTCACATTACTGCTTGGCGGTGGAAATAAGAAAGGTGGCAGTACTTCCCTGGATGAACTCTTCCACAAGGAACTCTACTGCTACTTTGAACTTAAAGTCGTTTGTAAAAGAAATTAGGTCTTAGAAAGCTGCTCTAAAGGGCCGAGTATTTTTATGTCTCAAATTAAGAATTTCTTATAATTTAGAAAAAGGCACGGGACGTCAACAGGCCGCATGGGGTGTGCTCATTAGAGTATGCTATTTGTTCTCGTTAAGCTCCTCCATAACTTAAAAGTCGGTCCCTCCCATATATTATTGAGCTGTATAGTCGTTCACATAATTAACAAATAAGCAAGCAGCCTTTAAGGCCCGATATTTATTAAAAATTAAATTAGGCAAACAGTACTATTAAGTCCTGTGCATTTGCATTTGTACATTAAGGGTAAATTAATGCTTTTGTGGTCAATAAAATATGTTGTTCAGAGTTTAATTGAATTTTATTGTAATTACCTACCACCGATTGCATTGCAACTGTTATCATTTAGTTTATCTGTTACGATTAAACGGAAAAAATATTTGAAATAATTTCCCAACATAATACAATAACTTTAAAAGGGTTTCAGTTCCTTAATTTCAAATATTAAGTCTTCCACGATTGCCGAAACTAGTACAAAGTATTGATAAGTGAAATATTTGGAAAATAAAACAAAAAATCACTTCGTGCTCTTGCACAAAGGTTGTGTTTAGAATATAAACTAAAAATAACTTATCGGATTGCACTAACAATATGAGTACTATGTGTGGATAGTAAAATAATAGTTGCATCTGAGTTTCATCATTTATACCCAAAGTGGGCGTGGATTAGAGGATGAGAGTTAATTAAAGTGAGCAAGATTATTACAGAATCAACAGTTATCATTTTGCAAAAATGGAGTATAGAGGTAAGTACATGAAATATGTAAATATGTAGGTATTTATAATTCATTTGTATGATCTGAGTGAAGTAGTCACCTTATATAGAAAGATTGATTTAGATTTTTTATTTTTTTATTATTTTTATGACATCAAACGACGTGAAAGCGTGCGCCTGGTAGTAAGTGACAGTGACACGCCTGTCCATGACAGTTCGATTCGGCATGTACGACAAAAATAAACATTATGTAGTAGGTGAAACTGATATGGCGATCAGAGTCAACACTTGAAGGTTGTCAGTTTCTACAACAACAAAAAATTTGAAGGCGATCAATATTCTGTTACCGGTACGGGCTCGTATCCTTGATAAGACATTTTTGATAATCTATTTGTCCAACAGCGCACGACACACCCGCCGAACGGGACAAACAAGCGAACAGATCCTCGTACAGATATTGGGATCAACAAAACCCGTCATGCAGGTATAGCTAAAAAAAGAAAGGATGTGTTCAGTTTATTTTTGCCGTAATTGGATTGCAAATATGTTTGTTGAGATTCGGCGCAGGTGAAACAATATTTTCCATTGTTTTATAGATATCGATTTCACTCACTAAGCCTCTTTTAGTACGCTATAGCAAAGTTGAGTGCTAATGAGGCACCTAAAACATATAAATACACGGGGCTGAATTTCATTGATGCTACGACGACTAACACTACGTGCTACGCTTGTGCCAAGGCACATCGGTGCATTATTTTAAAGTGTCCGTAACTAAATTTTATAAATCTTTAGACCGCTTATCATGAAAAATCTGCAGATAGTATTTAGATATTCAGGAGAGGAAGCCACGAGTGGCAGGCGACTAATTGTGTCGGCGATGTTAGTAAGCCCCGCGCGATCGCCCCATTACCGTATTATAATTGTGGACTCGCCGCCAAAGAGTCTAAAGCCTCTGTCGACCTTTATCACCGAACTACATAAATATATCGAGTATCTACTGAAAATAAGGTTCTAAAAGTGGAAGTATGGCCTCTATTATATTCCATCGGTTTCAAAAGTACTGTCCTAGAATACCATATTCTGCACGACACAGGAACTTAGCGAACATAGCCACTTACCCGAGCAGCACGCACGTGCGCTGCTGGTGGCAAACGCCTTGGTAGAGTTGCACGAGGCGCAGGAGATCGGGAATAACTGTCTTTCCGCGCGCCATCTAGAAAAACAAAAACCGCTATAATATAATTTTACCGCGTCGGCTCATACTAGTGACATGAATAGTAATACACACATCAAGTGTCTAGGGATCAAGTGAATATTTTTGAAATAAAAATTATTTAAGCAATATTTACCAAATCCAGTCTTCCAGGACGACTTCTTACTTTAATGCTTATGTTTTATTTAACCGCTTACCCCTATATTTAATTAAAATAAACTAAAATTGATGTTTTTGCAAATTGTGGGAAAAAACTCAAATTAACGGCGTCAATTAAATGACAAAAAAATGGCGAAAATGATGATTTTGCTTTTTATTGTAAAGATAAGAAAATTAATAATCTGTATTTCCACCATTTGGCATGCTTAAGATGAGTTCATCAAAATCACTTTGAGGAATGGCCGCCCATGTGTTTTGTAACAAGTCAAAATATTGTTGTAGAGTATGTACGGTATGCATACTCGGCACAGCTCTTCTTTGAAGCATATCCCATGCGTGCTCAATTGGATTGAGGTCTGGCGATTGAGCAGGCCACGGCCGAACGTTGATACGAGCTTCGGCAAGAATGCGTGTTACGACTCTAGCCGTGTGTGGACGTGCGTTGTCATGCATTAGTTGAAATGAATCACCCAACTGGCCTCGCAAAGGGATGATAACATCTGAAACAATCCTCTCTGCGTAAACTTGAGCATTGAGGTTACCCCTGATCCAAATGAGATCGGTTCTTCCGCCGATCCAAATACCGGCCCATATCATTATTGTTCCCCCACCATATCTCAAACGTTCATGACGTCCAGATGTTCTCCAAACTCGAGTACGTCTTGTATCTGGTCTCATACCGAAGCGGGATTCATCCGAAAAGCACACATAGCGCCAGTCTTCTTCCTCCCAGTTTCTGTGTTCGCGAGCCCATCGTAAACGGGTCCTGCGATTGCAGGGTGCAATAGGTGGAACTCTAAGCGGCCTTCGGGATCGCAGACCCACTTCACGTAAACGATTTCGGATTGTTTGATCGCTTATTAGCAAGCCTGAGGAGCTGTGGAGCCTCGTAACCAACATCATGGCGGTCATGGTACGATTCCGTCGAGCAGTATTTTGGATATACCGGTCCTGTCTGCGAGTCGTGATGCGAGGTCGTCCTCCATGTCGCTCGGCCACGCTGCCCGCCATGCGATAGCGCGTCCAGAGGCGACTTATGACGCTCTGTGTAGTGTTAAGAGTGAAAGCCACAGCACGTTGCCTGGAACCAGCTTCCAACATTCCGACGGCTCGCATCATCACTTCTCGGGTTAAATGATGTCGTCTCTCCATAATAATGTAAATTGTTTCGGTTTCGATGCAGATATTGTAATGATTTTGTCAAAACGCTATAACTCATTTTTATACAAAACCACATTGACAATCGATTTTCTTCTTATTATCGAATTTTAAACAATATTCCTTATTTAAATGTTAAAACTCACTAAAAAGTATCAATAGCGATACAAAAAAGTTAATATAATTAACCCTAATTGCAGCAATACTCTTAAACGTACTTGATCCCTAGACACTTTTGATGTGTGTAGATAACTCGTTAAATAGGTGAGTAAGTAGCACAGACCACATAAAGTAAGTAGCTATATTATTATAAACATGTGACGCTGTTTAACTTTCAGGCTTTACCAAATCCTCTGAAAATCATAAACCTAGCATTTTTTGTGAGACTATAACACAATAATCCATTTGTCATGTTAGGCTTGATTCATATCGCCGAGTAGTGCTCTAACAGCTAGTGACATTATGACATAATGTACAGATCCGGTAAAGATAATGGGCAGCCGACTATCTATCTCGCGTTTGTGCATCTATCGAAACTCGTCTTTGTTAATTAGCTTCATTACACGAGGAACTATGTTATCCCGGTGTGACGAGGATGTTTCACTAGGTAAAATCATAGAACCTACCATTTTCTTTACATGAAGTCAGGGATACAATTAAGGATTGCAAAATTTATGCTGAAGTAAAAGCCTAGATTTTTTTGCAACAACGTTCGTAACTTACCGAAGCTGATTAAACCTACTGTTCCTTGGGATTGACTTTAAGGGGCCGATACCCTCCAAGACGAACACGTCCTATGTACTTCCTTACAGTTAAGTATGAATTATATCGGTTTCCCTTTGCTTTTCCTTGCTGGGGAGTACAACAACGGTAATCAGATATTTAAATGGAATATTCATGATTTTCGCACTACATGCCTACATACATTCTGACCGTGGATCTTCATTTTTACCTAAGGAAGTCAGATAATTCCTACATTCGCGGGGCACAGCGGCGAGCTCTTCTACGCTCTATAACCCACAAGGGAACGGACAAGTTGAGAAACTTAATTCGACTCTCTGGGAAGTCGTGCAGATAGCGCTACGTACGAAAAATCTATTGAGGAATGGGAGAAGGTACTGCCACAGGCTTTGCATTCAATTCGTTCTCTTCTTTGTACTGTGACCAACTGCACAGCACATGAAAGAATGTTCACTCACGCCCGCCGGTCCTCAAATGGCTATTTGATACCTACCTAGTTGACGAACACAGGGCATGTGCTGGTGAGAAAATTCAATCGAACTAACAAGAACGAATCTCTTGTTGGGGAGATTATTCGCTGGTGAAATTCCCGGACAGAAGAGAGACGAATATTTCTAACCGAAACTTAGCGCATTACCACAGATTGAAAGGCAGCAGAAGCAAAATAAATGTGATAGCATCCACTGATCCACTAATAAATTATTCTGCGGGCCCAAGTCGAACTCTAGATTCTGTGGATACAATGGAGTCTATCGTGAGTCCAGACGAAACAATAAATCGGAGATCGGACTGGACCTGCGTGTGGCCCAATCACCTGGACGATTATATTTTTTTATTAGCCTGGGGAGAATGACACCACCTTCTTAATTGTCAGAAAGACATATCTAATCGCTATTATTTCATAACATTTGCAATGCAAATTATATTTTGTTGATTAAACCTGACCTATATGTCCATTGTAACGTGTGTTTCATGTGTCTTTTCTTTGTACAATAAAGAATATATATATTTTAACAAGGTTTGTCTCATTTCAGGTTTCATTCTTTCATTAATCCTTCGTTATTTTCAATTATAGTTCTAGGTACCAACAATACCTATATTTGCACCTACAATATAATTGTTACTCTGTCTAGTCTAAATTATGTAAAATTTGTTTTTTATTATGATTTTATTATTTGAAATGTATTTACAATATGTGTACTCTTCTTTTAATACGTGTTTTCTATTCTTTATTACGTGCCGAAATTGTATGTAGGTACCTTGTGAAGTGCGCGGAGGGGTTGGATCTGGGGTGCGAGCCCGCCGTGGTAGGCCACGTGTAGGTGCAACGGCTGGCGTGGCCGGAGCGGACGGAGGTAGCTGCTTCGATGCTGTCGTAGGAGCAGGTAGCGCCAATAGCTGCCGATACAGCTCCAACTCATGATAGAACTCTAGCGAATCGGGAGAGCCATCTGCGTCAGCGTCAAGTGGCGCGCCAGTGTTGGAGGCGCGCACCTCAGCTGTTAGCCCGTTGAGCACGAGGCGCCGAGCCGCCATACCGCCACAATACACACGCTGCGCACACGCAACATACGCACACGCACCTATGAATTGCAGCTCGTGCGGATCAAAACTTGCCTCCTTTTAAGCTATATTTTTTTACATTAATCGTATTTTAAATGAAATCTACATTTTCAACGAGTCATCGGAAATCCAATGAGGTCACCTTGTAGAGGCCGATTTGATTCACTTTAAGTTACACTAATGCAAATATTTAATAGAACAAAAAAATAAATTTGAAATCTATTTAAAATAATATTACATAAATCGTACCCACTGCCATTCACAACAAGGAACCTTCAAGGAACTGATACATTGCACTAGACTAATATCGAAAATTCCATACATCCTCAACAGCACCAACAAGGTGACATTTCAAAACACTGCCGTAAATATTTTAGTTACTGCGAATTCAGAAACGACATGCCTTCATGAGAAAAGTAATGATAAAAAGTTAGAAAAAAGTTGCAAAGTCGCGCAAATATACGTAGGTTATAGAGAAAGCGCGGCGACCGTAAACCGCGCGCTGCCGCCGCGGCCACGCCGCGTACTGCCGCCGCTGCCGCTCCATGTCACTGCGCGAATATTCAATTCGCGACGAACAGATTCTCTTTGTTATTGTTTATGTAGTTTTCATGATGTGTTCCAACGGGATAGGCTATTCAGTCCGATAATCAATCATAATGCACTTATATGCTATGAGATAAAACTGAAAGGAAGTAGATGGTAAAATTAAAAACAAAAAATTAAATTATCTTTCATGTATTTCATTTAATAAATATAAAGACTTATACTATATTAACAATACCACGCTACATCAACATACATATCTTTATACATTCTATAATGGTGAAGAGTCCGTCAAGTGGTATTTTTGTTGGTGCAGAAAAGTACTTACTTTTTATAGCCCAATTTTTTCAAAAAAGTTTTCGAGAATGGAGTGTATTTGTTTGTAATAAATTGTAAATAATTATAAATAAATTAATAACTTAAGTAAGCTGTGACCAATTTGCTAAATTGATATAAGTGATAAAGTAAACATACTGTATTTATTTTAGGACAAATTTTAGATTTTTTATGACCATTTTATTTATCAAAAAACGAACATCGTGTTGAAAATCTCTGCCTTTTCATTTTATTTTAATTACTAAGAAACCCGCCATTTTCCGACAGCTGTACCAAGCGTTGTATTTGTTTTATTTATTCGTGATACATTATGTATCTCAGATACATTCGTAAATATGAGTAGCTCAAGTTACTTCGCGGACGTTTCAAGGAATCATTCCGCCAGACGGTTTGAGCGAAGCGCGAGTTCTTTTAATACGTCTTTTCGTATTTAATATAACATAGTGTGTGCGTTATAAACGCCGTATTATAAAGTGGATTAGAAGTCTAACTGCGTGCCTACAACCTTCAGAGTGCCACGTGGTACCGCGGTGTATATTGGTCCTTCGAGCAGCCGGACTGCCTTACGTCTATCTCGAAAAGTTTCAGATTAGATTCAGGGAAATCCCTGGAAGGGGTCAACTACCCCTCTTCTGTATTAATAGTCGGTCCGCAGACTGCGCAAATGGATGCTGATGGGGGAGTACCAACCCTAGGGGTGAGAGAAGAGAAGGTGGTGGATGTGGTTATCAACTCTGAACGGGGGGTGCGGAATGCAGTCAGGTGCTGTCACAAAGCAAGAAACGTGATAAGACGAAAACCCTCGCCAGAGGAATGGTGAAAGGAGGCGATTTGTGAGCTGCCTGCAACGTGTCCGTAGGCTCACGGCGTAGAAGGGCGGTGAACGAAATGTCATGTCAAGACAAAGAGTACATTGGTGTGCGTAATGGAATAAAATTACAGAAATGTTTCATTGTTTGCAATAAGCAATAATAATAAGTTGAACATCGTTAACCGACTTTTAACCGACCTCAAAAGGGAGGAGGTTCTCAATTCGAGCTTTTTTTGTGTACGTTACGCGATTATAAAAATATTATTTGTGAACTTATTTTGACGATTATTTTTTTGTTGGAAAGAGGGCACCTCAATTTTGGTTCCATTTCAATTTGAAGAAAATATTCCACCTTTATGGGTGGCAAACTAGGGGATGAATCCGGTTTCACGCACTTTCCGATAACCATTTTCAATAAAACTTGGCAAATAGATGGAAGTTCCACGAACTTTCGAGGTCGATTTTTTTGTAATTCTAATTATTTTAGTATGCTTATTATTTTCCTTATTTATTAGTGGGTTCTAGCGCTTCCCTCGGTCGGCTCGCGCATTGTTGTGGTCACAAGTCATCTAATAGCTCGCTCGCCGTTGCACTTAAATTTGACTTTGGGATTATATTTTTAATATTGAGTATTCAATATTGTATCGGAAAAGTTTATATAAAATGCACTTTAGTGGTATAAGAGTCTAGTTATTAGAGCAATACTTTTTATACAAAATTATACTATATACCCGACCTTTTATCACTACAATAACAAGAACGTCACAAGTTACAATGCCACAATGAAATATGATATCATAAGTGTTATTCAAGAATGCCAAATTATTGTTCTAAATATTCAACGAGACTAATAATATTACATAATTAGCCATTTGTACAATTCGGCTGTCATCAATTATCTTATATACAAAAAAAAGGAAGTTGTCGTTCTTTTACACCTTATAGGATGGAAAATAAATAGTCTAAGTTCTTATTTTAAATTATATTTTGGTAGCAACTTTTTAAATAGTGTAATATTAGCCACATTCTCTAGAACAAGTATATTTATGGGTAAATTTCTATGGCTTTCAGCAAATTTTCTTGTATATAACTAAAAAGTATTAAAACCATTATGTATGATATGCAAAATATGTATACGGACTCCTAGAGACCGATATAATAACCCTGATTTAATTAATCCGTTCTATCTTCTAAGCAAAGGACTAACTGTAAAATTTTTCGACTAGAACTAGTTAATTCGCGACTTTTTCTTGCAGTCTAAGCAACTGTACTTTTAGAGATTAAAAAATAATGCCACGGAAATAAGCTTATTCCACTGAGTACAGTAAAATATCCTTATAACATTAAAACGGCGCAACAATTAAATCTAGTTTGAGACGACAAGAACCGACTAAAACACGACTCTTTTTGAGTTCAATCAGCTGGGCGCTGTGGTTCTCGAGATTAACGAATGGTGCCGCTAGAACGAGCTTATTTCAGCGTGGACAGGAAAACACCCTTATAACTTTAAAACAGCAGCGGACCGACTAAATCCTGTGTTTGCGACTAGAACCGACTAAATGAGGACTTTTACCTGACTAGTTACAATTCAAATACTCAACCACGGGCACGCTGGAATAAGGCACGCAAAAAAATAGTTTCTTGCCGATAAAATACAGAGAGAAATGTTTTTATTATAATTTGTTACGACTTCATATTGCGAAAAACCAATTAAAAATGCAACGTGAAGTTTTTTATTTATTCATTAATGTATTACTAATGTACTGTAAAAAAGTATCAAGGTTCTTTTTACTTTGCGTACTTGTAAAACAATATATATAGAGCGCACTATAAGTTTCCGGAACAGGGCACCTTCGTCCGACATCCGTCCGAAACAATTACTGTCAAATAAGTAATATTCGACAAAATTAAACGACAATTATCAAGAATACAGCTTCATTCGCATCACGCGTCTTTTCATTTGGTCAAGTGTTGCTTATTTGGGTAATAATTGTTTCGGACGGATGTCGGACGGAGATCGAGAGTAGACCCCCTGGCCACTTACCTAAACAATATTTAAAAAGTAATTACAACATTTGAAAACGGAACTCTTTGGCTGTAGAGTACAGTTTGCTTCATCTGACTGTCACTTGTTTTTACATTGTGGCGTCATTTTAGAAATTGGTTGTCTACATCACCATGGATTTAACTCGTGAAAATTTTCGTAGTATGATTTTCTACGATTTTAGGTGTAACTTAACAGCTCAGCGGAGCTTTGCTCGACTTCAAAATGCTTTTGATGATGAAGCACCATGCAAGACTACTTTTATAGCTTTATATACCTAAACTACCCTAAAGTACCGTTTGCAGCATTCAAACGCGATCGTGTGAATCTCAGTGACGAATTTCGTGATGATCGCCCGTCCACTGCTGTGAACAACAACAACATCGATACTGTGCGCCGTATGATCAAAACAAACAGGCACGTGACGTACCATGAGATTTGGGCATCTTTAGGCATAAGCATGAGTCAAATACAATCAATACTACATAAACATTTGGGTGTGAAAAAGCTGTGCTTTCGGTGGATCCCACACAATTTGACTGAGGCTCAAAAAACGGATCGTGTCACTTGGTGCAATACTATGCTTACCAGATTCAACGAAGGGGCGTAAAATTTGGTGTGGGGCATAGTAACAGGTGACGAAACATGGATTTTTTAGTTACGATCCCAAAACAAAGCAGCAATCGAGAGTATGGGTCTTTCGAGGTGAGCCGAAACCAACCAAAGTGGCACGCGTGGAAAGTGCCTCTAATAGGATGATTGCTTCTTTTTTTTAATAAAACTGGACACGTGGCTACTGTTACTTTGGAGAATAGTTGTACCGTAAATGGTGATTGGTACACAACCATTTGTTTGCCGAAAGTTATTGACAAACTCCGTAAAAATAACCGTAAACACCTTATCATCGTGCACCACGATAATGCCAGTTCTCACGCGGCCAGACAGACAAAATAATTTTTGAAGGTGAACACAAGTTGACATTATGAGCCATCCCGCGTACAGTCCCGACCTGGTAGTTTATGACTTTTATTTATTTCCAAAAATTAAGAACCAGTTACGCGGTCAACGATTTTCATCACCTGAAGAGTCGTAGAAAAATCAGTTTCAGAGATTGTCATGGAGGAGTGGTATAAATGTTTTCAAAATTGGTTCCTTCGTATGAAAAAGTGCAGTGCATTAACGCTAACGGAGAATATTTTGAGAAAATAAATTCATTTCTGACAACAAAATTTATAGTCATTTTTTCTTATTCATTCCGGAAACTTATAGTGCGCTCCACGTATAACATATTATAGTTCAGGTCAATACTATTTTAATCGCGAATCATAAGTCTGAATAAATTACAAAAAAGTAAATATTACAATAACCCGGAAAAGTTTTCTGATACAAGATGCCATTTCATTGATGATAGCTTCGCAGAGATATAGCGTCTCTTAGCGTATTCTATCGCCTGTACCACGGTGAGTGCTCTGAAGAGTTATTCAACCTTATCCCTTCCTCTCCTTTCCATCAGCGGACCACCCGTGCCGGACTGCGTTGCCACAGTTGGACGGTCAGTTCAATACCGTCCCGCACTAAAAAGTTTGGCAATTCGTTCTTATGCCGAACCATCAAATTGTGGAACCAACTCCCGGCGCATGTATTCCCTCCCCTCTATAACATCGGGTCCTTCAAACGTAGTGTGAAGAAGCATTTGGACAGACCGGCAAAATGATAGTGACGGAGTGAAGATATTTGTGTTTTCCATCCGTTACTCTCATCTCTGGACTGTATTCGCACTTTCCATCAGGCGCGGTGCAGTCATTTTGCCGAGTCTTTGCAATAAAAAAAAATATTAAAAAAAAAAGATAAAAAAGTACCTTTTCGGAAACTATTGAGATGGTCGCCGATGAATAGGCGAGGCGACATAATAGACTTTTACATTAAGATGAGATCAAACATTTTAAGATGCAAATGCAAGCGAGGATCCTGATCCTGATCCTCGATTGCCAACACGGCCGAAAATTATGGATTAGATGTCAGCGAGCAGGCGCAGTAACGCATGCGGCTGCAGCGGCAGAGGCAGCGTGAGACGGTGCAGCAGTAGCGTTAGTAGCACTAGCGCCGTGCAAGCCAGCGCCGCAGGCACAGCCAGGGACGCACGCGCGCTCTGCTCTTGTCCGCCGTGAGTGGGCGTAGCGGGTGCTGGCCCAGGCCCGGGGGGCGTGGCCTGCTTCGGCGGAGGTGCGCGCGGCGGCAGCAGCTCGCGGTCTGCGCAACGCTGGCATTGCGGCTGCGCACGCCACGCCGCCCAGGCCCCACGCTCCCAAGCGGCCCAGGCCTCCGCCGCCAGACGCAGCGCACCGTCGGCTGCGCGCCAGTGCCTCAAGTGCCAAAACGCGTACGCGAGCGCCTCGCTGTCGCCACGCCGCACGACGTGCTCCGGCGGCAGCGCCAGGGCGCGCAGTTCCAGAAGGTACGGCGGGACGTGAGGGTTGAATTCAATGGCGCGACGCAACGCGTCCAGCGCGGCCGCGTCGAGTGCGCGCACGCCAGTCGCGCCGGGTCCCGCCTGCTGAGCGGCGGCGCGAGCCCTTAGCAGCGCGCTCGTGTACAGCACGGCGGCGGACGCGCCCAAACCGATGTCTTCGCAGCGCGCGATTACAGCCTGTCAACATAATGTTTAGTCAGTTTAACGTTCCATCCTCTACACAAAAGTGAAACGAGACAAATTCCAAAATGGACGACCTGCACGTCGGCATAAGCGCGCTGCTCGAGCAGCGCCTCGATCAGGTTTTCGTGGAGCGACAGCGCGTGCAGCGCCGGCGGAGCGTCGCGAGCCAGCTCGCGGAAGAGGCGCACGGCGTCGCGCAGGCGCCCGAGCCGGCGCGCGCACAT